CCATTGGGATGGAAGTCAGCTTTTTGACCTTCCGTCAATTACCACATGTTTGAGATGAACATTTAAGATGGAAGCCAGCTGTGTAACGTTGGTCGAATTAACGGGAGACATCAGTAGGAGAAGATGAGTTCTAGTCCTCCAATAATCAAGGTAGGTTCTGCTGCTCTAATTTGAACGACTGTCAGAGGAGTGATCTTACACCAATCCTCCCAGGATAAGGTGAGTTCTAGTCCTACAAAAGTAATTGAGTTCTTTTCCTGAAAAACACACAATACTTGTCTAAGTATAACCTATTTAAATCTCCAGGAGAACGTGACTTCTAGTTGGACCATTGGGATGGAAGTCAACTTTTTGATCTTCCGTCAATTACCACAATTTCGTGAGTTTGAGAATGAACATTTAAGATGGAAGCAAGCTCGTGAGTTTGGTTGAATTAACAGGAGACAGTCAGTAGGAGGTGAGTTCTAGTCCTCCAATAGTCAAGGTAAGTTCTCGTCCTCCGATTTGAACAACATGAAGAGGAGTGATCTTAGACCAATTCTCCCAGGATAAGGTGAGTCCTATTCCTACAAAATCACATTGAGTTCTTTTCCTGCAAATACACAATACTTGTCTTAGTTTAACCTATTTCAATCTCTAGCAGATCGTGAGTTCTAGTTGGACACTTGGGATGGAAGTATACTTTTTGACCTTGCGCCAATTACCGCAATTTGGTGAGACAGTCCGTAGGAGAAGGTGAGTTCTAGTCTCCAATAGTCAAGGTAAATTCTCGTCCTCCAATTTGAATGACAGGAAGAGGAGTGATCTTAAGCCAAATCTCCCAGGGTAAGGAGAGTTCTAGTCCTACAAAAGCACATTGTGTTCCTTTCGTGCAAAATACACAATAAATTTCTGAGTTTTAAGCTATTTCAATTTCAAGGGGAACATGAGTTCTAGTTGGACCATTGGGATGGAAGTCAGCTTTTTGACCTTCCGTCAATTTACCACATGTTTGAGATGAACTTTAAGATGGAAGCCAGCTGTGTAACGTTGGTCAAATTAAAGGGAGACATCAGTAGGAGAAGATGAGTTCTAGTCCTCCAATAATCAAGGTAGGTTCTGCTGCTCTAATTTGAACGACTGTCAGAGGAGTGATCTTACACCAATCCTCCCAGGATAAGGTGAGTTCTAGTCCTACAAAAGTACATTGAGTTCTTTTCCTGAAAAACACACAATACTTGTCTAAGTATAACCTATTTAAATCTCCAGGAGAACGTGACTTCTAGTTGGACCATTGGGATGGAAGTCAACTTTTTGATCTTCCGTCAATTACCACAATTTCGTGAGTTTAAGATGAACATTTAAGATGGAAGCAAGCTGGTGGTTTGGTTGAATTAACAGGAGACAGTCAGTAGGAGGTGAGTTCTAGTCCTCCAATAATCAAGGTAAGTTCTCGTCCTCCGATTTGAACAACATGAAGAGGAGTGATCTTAGACCAAATTCTCCCAGGATAAGGTGAGTCCTATTCCTACAAAATCACATGAGTTCTTTTCCTGCAAATACACAATACTTGTCTTAGTTTAACCTATTTCAATCTCTAGCAGATCGTGAGTTCTAGTTGGACCTTGGGATGGAAGTATGCTTTTTGACCTTGCGCAATTACCGCAATTTGGTGAGACAGTCCGTAGGAGAAGGTGAGTTCTAGTCCTCCAATAGTCAAGGTAAGTTCTCATCCTCCAATTTGAACGACGTCAGAGATGTGATTTTACACCAATTCTCGGAGTATATGGTGAGTTCCTTTGATCGAATTAACAGGAGACAGTCAGTAGGAGAAGGTGAGTTCTAGTCCTCCAATCGTCAAGATAAGTTCTGCTGCTCTAATTTGAACGACTGTCAGAGGAGTGATCTTACACCAATTCTCCCAGGATAAGGTGAGTTCTAGTCCTACAAAAGCACATTGGGTTCTTTTCGTGCAAAATATACAATAAATTTCTGAGTATAACCTACTTAAATCTCCTGGGGAATGTGATTTCTAGTTGGACCCTTGGGATGGAAGTGAACTTTTTGACCTTGCACCAATTTCCGCAATTTGGTGAGTTTGAGATGAACATTTAAGACGGAAGCTAGCTGTGTGAGTTTGGTCGAATTAACAGGAGACATCAGTAGGAGAAGGTGATTTCTAGTCCTCCAATAGTCAAGGTAAGTTCTGCTGCTCTATTTTGAACGACAGGAAGAGGAGTGATCTTATGGCAATTCTCCCCGGATAAGGTGAGTTCTAGTCCTACAAAACCACATTGAGTTCTTTTCTAGCAAAATAAACAATACTTGTCTGAGTATAAAGTATTTCAATCTCCAGGGGAATGTGAGTTCTCGTTGGACCATTGGGATGGAAGTCAGCCATTTGACCTTGCGCTAATTACCATAATTTGGTGAGTTTGAGATGAACATTTACAAGGGAATCTACTTGTGTCAGTTTGGTCGAATTAACGGGAGACATCAGTAGGAGAAGGTGAGTTCTAGTCCTCCAATTGTCAAGGTAAGTTCTCATCCTCCAATTTGAATGACAGGAAGAGGAGTGATCTTACGCCAATTCTCCCAGGATAAGGTGAGTTCTAGTCCCAGAAAAGCAGATTGAGTTCTTTTCCGGCAAAATAAACAATACTTTTCTGAATTTCAGCTATTTTAATCTCCAGGAGAACTTAAGTTCTAGTTGGACCATTGGGATGGAAGTCAGCTTTTTGACCTTGCGCTAATTACCACAATTTGGTGAGTTTGAGATGAACATTTAAGATGGAAGCCAGCTTTGAAACTTTGGTCGAATTAACAGGAAGAATCAGTAGGAGAAGGTGAGTTCTTTTCCTCCAATAGTCAAGGTAAGTTCTCATCCTCGAATTTGAACGACAGGAAGAGGAGTGATCTTACGGCAATTCTCCCAGGATAAGGTGAGTTCTAGTCCTACAAAAGCACATTGAGTTCTTTTCCAGCAAAATAAACAATACTTGTCTGAGTATAACCTATTTCAATCTCCAGGAGAACGCGAGTTCTAGTTGGACCATTGGAATGGAAGTCAGCTTTTAAACCCTGCACCAATTACCATAATATGGTGAATTTGAGATGAACATTTAAGACGGAAGCCAGCTGTTTGACTTTGATCGAATTAACAGGAGACAGTCAGTAGGAGTAGGTGAGTTCTAGTCCTCCAATAATCAAGGTAAGTTCTGCTGCTCTAATTTGAACGACTGTCAGAGGAGTGATCTCACACCAATTCTCCCAGGATAAGGTGAGTTCTAGTCCTACAAAAGCACATTGAGTTCTTTTCGTGCAAAATATACAATAAATTTCTGAGTTTAAGCTATTTCAATTTCAAGGGGAACATGAGTTCTAGTTGGACCATTGGGATGGAAGTCAGCCATTTGACCTATTGCCAATTACCACAATTTGGTGAGTTTGAGATGAACATTTAAGATGGAAGCTAGCTGTGTGAGTTTGGTCGAATTAACAGGAGACATTAGTAGGAGAAGGTGAGTTCTAGTCCTCTAATTGTCAAGGTAAATTCTTCTGCTCTAATTTGAGCAACCGTCAGAAGTGTGATCTTACGCCAATTCTCCCATGATAATGTGAGTTCTAGTCCTACAAAAGCACATTGAGTTCTTTTCCAGCAATATAAACAATACTTGTCTGAGTATAACCTATTTTTAATCTCAGGAGGAGGTGAGTTCTAGTTGGACCATTGGGATGGAAGTCAGCTTTTTGACCTTGCGCCAATTAGCACAATTTGGTGACTTTTGACGAACATTTAAGACGGAAGCCAGCTGTGTAACTTTGGTCGAATTAACAGGAGACTGTCAGTAGGAGAAGGTGAGTTCTAGTCCTCCAATAGTCAAGGTAAGTTCTTCTGCTCTAATTTGAACAACCGTCAGAAGAGTGATCTTACACCACTTTTCCCAGCACATTGAGTTCTTTTCCGCCAAAATACACAATACTTGTCTGAATTTAAGCTATTTCAATCTCCAGGAGAACATGAGTTCTAATTGACCATTGGGATGGATGTCAGCTTTTTGACCTTGCGCCAATTACCACAATTTGGTGAGTTTGAGATGAACATTTACGACAGAAGCTAGCTGTGTAAGTTTGGTCGAATTAACAGGAGACATTAGTAGGAGAATGTGAGTTCTAGTCCTCCAATAGTCAAGTTAAGTTCTTCTGCTCTTATTTGAATGACAGCCAGAGGAGTGATCTTACGGCAATTCTCCCAGGATAAAAGGAGTTCTAGTCCTAGAAAAGCAGATTGAGTTCTTTTCCAGCAAAATAAACAATACTTGTCTCAGTATAACCTATTTCAATCTCCAGGAGAACATGAGTTCTAGTTGGACCATTGGAATGGAACTCAGCCATTTGACCTATTGCCAATTACCATAATTTGGTGAGTTTGAGATGAATATTTAAGACAGAAGCTAGATGTGTGAGTTTGGTCGAATTAACAAGAGACATCAGTGAGAGAAGGTGAGGTCTCCAATAGTTAAGGTAAGTTCTCGTCTTCCAATTTGAACGACAGGAAGAGGGGTGATCTTACGCCAATTCTCCCAGGATAAGGTGAGTTCTAGTCCCAGAAAAGCAGATTGAGTTCTTTTCCGGCAAAATACACAATACTTTTCTGAATTTCAGCTATTTTAATCTCCAGGAGAACTTAAGTTCTAGTTGGACCATTGGGATGGAAGTCAGCTTTTTGACCTTGCGCCAATTACCACAATTTGGTGAGTTTGAGATGAACATTTAAGATGGAAGCCAGCTGTGTAACTTTGGTCGAATTAACAGGAGACAGTCAGTAGGTGAAGGTGAGTCCTAATCCTCCAATAGTCAAGGTAAATTCTCGTCCTCCAGTTTGAATGACAGGAAGAGGTGTGATCTTATGTCATTTCTCCCATGATAAGGTGAGTTGTAGTCCTACAAAAGCACATTGAGTTCTTTTCCTGCAAAATAAACAATACTTGTCTGAATTTAACCTATTTCAATCTCCAGGGGAACTGAGTTCCTCGTTGGACCATTGGGATGGAAGTCAGCTTTTTGACCTTGCACCAATTACTGCAATTTGGTGAGTTTGGGATGAACATTTAAGACGGAAGCCAGCTGTGTAACTTTGGTCGAATTAACAGGAGACTGTCAGTAGGTGAAGGTGAGTTCTAGTCCTCAATAGTCAAGGTAAGTTCTTCTGCTCTTATTTGAAAGACCGCAGAGGAGTGATCTTACACCAATTCTCCCAGGATAAGGTGAGTTCTAGTCCTACAAAAGCACATTGAGTTCTTTTCCTGCAAAATAAACAATACTTGTCTGAATTTAACCTATTTCAATCACCAGGGGAACGTGAGTCCTCGTTGGACCATTAGGATGGAAGTCAGCTTTTTGACCTTGTGCCAATTACTGCAATTTGGTGAGTTTGAGATGAACATTTACGACGGAAGCAAGCTGTGTGAGTTTGGTCGAATTAACAGGAAACATAATTAGGAGAAGGTGAGTTCTAGTCCTCTAATAGTCAAGGTAAATTCTCGTCCTCCAATTTGAATGACAGGAAGAGGAGTGATCTTGTCAATTCTCTCAGGATAAGGTGAGTTCTAGTCCTATGAAAGCACATTGAGTTCTTTTCCTACAAAATACATTCTACTTCCCTGAGTTTACTTTGTTCCAATCACCAGGAGTTTGTGATTTCTAGTCGAACCATTGGGATGGAAGTCAGCTGCTTGACAGACAATGGATTGATCCTAATATGCCAATTCACCCAGGAAAGTGTGAGTTGTAGTTGAACCATGAAAAACAGCTATGTGACCTTGGCCTATAACTAATAGAATGTGTCCTCCTGTCCTGCAATAAGATTCTATGTTCTCCTCTTTAAATATTAAAAAAAGACATGTGATTGACTTTGGACCAATCAGCAGGAGATGGTGAGTTTTTTTGTCCTCCGATATGAATGAAAGCCAGTGGAGTGATCTTATGCCAATTCCCCCAGGAAAAGGTGAGTTCTTGTCTACAAAAGCACATTGAACTTGTTTTCCTGCAAAATACATAATACTTTTCTGAGTTTACTTTACTTTATTCCAATCACCAGGAGTTTGTGATTTCTAGTCGAAACATTGGGATGGAAGGCAGCTGCTTGACCTTTGACCAATCACCAGCATACAGTGAGTTCACTTCAAAAGTTTGGAACTGAAACCAACTCGATGACTTTTTCAAAATCAGCAGGAGATGTTGAATTCTAGTCTGGCATAGACACAGTAAGTTCTCATCCTCCAATGTGAATGACAGAGTGATGTGACCTTACATCAATTCTCCCAGAAAAGGTGAGTTCAAGTCTGCAAAAGCAGATTGAGTTCTTTTCCTGCAAAATAATACTTGTCTGAGTTGACTTTATTCCAATCATCAGGAGATGGTGACTTCTGGTCGAATCATTGGGATGGAAGCCAGCTTTTTAACCTTGCTTCAATCATCAAGTAATGGTATGTTTGAATCTATTACTTTGTTACTGCATTAATTTGGTCGAATTAACCAAAATGAGTTTCTCATCCTGCATTGTGCAAAATAAGTTCTAGTCCTCCAATATGAATTGTATCCAAGCAGAGGGGATCTTTGACCAATCTCCAGGTGAGTTCTAATCATCGCAAAAGCTACAGTGAGTTCTAGTCCTGCAATATACATAATAGTAATCTGAGACTGAGACTTTATTCCAATCCCCATAGATGGTGTAGTTCCAGTCAAGCATTTGGGATGGAAGCCAGTTGCTTCACTTTGAACCAATCATCAGGAGACAGTGAGTCTGAGTGGAACCAGGCAGCTAATTCACCTTGGACCAATCACCAGGGGATGGTGAGTTCTAGTCCTGCAATAGACAATTTAAGCTCTTGTTTTCCTATATGCATGACATTCAGTTGAGTGACCTTGGCCAATCACCAGGAAAATGTATTGTTGTGTTTCTGCAATAGGCATGGTAACTTCTAGTCCTCCAAAGATGAATGACATTTAGCAGAGTGATCTTGAGGCAATCACCAGAAGAATGTGAGTTTCGTCCTGCAGAAGGCATGACAGATTGCTGAGTGACTTTTATCCAATAGACAGTAAGTTCTAGTCTTCCGATAGGAACAAAAGCCTGCCTCCCTCCCTCCCTCCCTCCCTCCCTCCCTCCCTTCCTTCCTTCCTTCCTTCCCTGTTTATTACTCACCTTCTGTGTCTTCTTTCTTCCTCCTTTATTCAGAAGCAGAATTCTCTCAATTTGGGGCCTTCAGTCCTAGGAAGAGGGCAATAGCAAACCACTATTTAAAAAACTCACCAAGAAAACTGTCAGGACTTAATAGGAGAAACTCTACCCCTACTTTGAGGGTCTGCCCCAACTGGAGGGCTCCACCTTCTCATCTGCCAGGTATCTCTTCTCAGAGTTTCTATGTTCAGTGGGGGATAGGGTAGGATAAGATAGAAATTGGGAATTCTTCATAATGGGCAGTACTGCTGGGGAAATACTAAGATGTGTCAAAAATACATTTGCTCAATTTCCATATTTTCTTAAGTAATGAGCAAAATTTATTGCTACCTGAGCTCTTGCCTCACAATCAGGAGGTTGTGAGTTCGATCCTAGGTAGCGGCAGATGTAGGGTCTCCTGCTTGGGCAGGGGGTTGGACTCGATGACCTGCAAAGTCCCTTCCAACTCTGTTAATCTGTTAAAAAACCTTCCCAACTCCTGCTGTTTATCTGAATATCTTTGGATTGTCTTGCTAGGTGCTTTGTTGCTGTTAAGGTAGGACTGGCTCCACAACACAAGTTCTTCTTTAATGTACTTGCAAATTTCTCATTTCACTAAATTCAACCAGGCTTGAAATCAAGAGATGGTGAATTCTAGTCCCACCTTAGGCACAAAGCCCATCCTCCCCCTTTGTTTATTTTTCTCTTCCTCTCTCTACCTTCTTCTTTCCTTAGGCAGAAAGCCAGCTCAGTGACCTTCAAGCAGTCACTCTCTCACCACTCTCAGAAGAAGACAATGGCAAACCACTTCTCAAACACCTTGCTAAGGAAAGTACTTGTTCAGATAGTCTCTGTGAATTGGTCCTGATTGAATGCAAGAAAAAAAAAGCAATGGTTGACGAAGACGGAAGGGCCCCTCCTCACGATGTCCAAGGCATCGTGTCCTGGTTAGGACCACAGTGAAGATGGGCAGAAGATGGCCTTCAAGCAAACCAATGTCCCCTGTTGCATGATATGAAGTCAACGGCTGAAATGGGACCCAAGTTATTTAACTGGGTGATTGCTAAATGAGACACAACCAATTGATGCTGTGTTGTACCAACCAACAAGTGTAGAATTCCCACAACCCACAAATCAAAACCAAACAACTCTGGACATGCTTGTTGGGAATTCCATGCAAGGCAGCTAATGGGTGTAGGCCTAGAGGGCTGGGTTGCTGCCCAGTGGGTTGGACACAGCTTGAGCTGGGTCAGGATGAGGACCTGACAATTGGCCCCTGTCTTCTTCTGGACAGGATGTCCAGACATCCTGCCCCAGTGAAGAAGAACGAAGGGAGACCTGTTTAAATTAATTAATTAATTAACAACCAGTTGTAGTTTCTCAATTAATTAATGACCGCTTGTAATTTCTACATTAATTAATTGACCACTTGTAGTTTCTACATTAATTAATTAATGATAAGTTTTGAAGAACTTAAAAGCTAAAACAATTTCTTATTCTTCTAAATATATCTGTGATTCTATCCAATATCACAGATAAAAGTCAGGAGAATGACCAAGTGTTTCTTTGATAATGCATCAAAATCTCACCAGAAAATAAGAGATATATTTCAGAGAGACGAGTTGAAAAACTGTTTGATATTGTACAAACTGTGTTTTATATACCAGATCCTCTTGCATCTTATCCATTTAAACTGCCTGGCTGATAAGGAATGAAAAGTTGTACAATAAAACACTGCTAGCATCAAATTTCTGGTAGAAAGATGATGACAAATGACATGTTCTTCAGGTCGGAAAATTGTTGTATGTGCAGGAATGTTGTATGTGCAGGAATAAAATATACTTTCCCCTTTTTGGGAAAAATACCCATTAACCTGCAATGTGTCAATGGAGATTCTCAGTCATCCAGGTCATGGTTGTCCCAAAGGTGCTTTTCCAAAAGGCAAGTGGGCTTTCTTTAAAAATGTTTTGCTTCTCCTCCCAAAAGCTTCTTCAGTTATTTTTCTTCTTCAGTTTGCTTCTTCGATGAGAAGTGAAATGTTTTCAAGGGGGAAAAAAACCCAGGGAAGTCCAGTTGTCTTTTGCAAAAGCACCTTTGGGACAACCATAACCTGGATGACTGAAAATCTCCATAGACACAGTATCAGTTCTTCCTCCCATAAATTAGCTGGGATGAGTTTAAATCGGGAGATGCTGCTAGATTTTGAATTGTATCCCAGGCACAGCAGTAGGAAAAAGATGGCAAAGCCTACATAACCTACATTTATATTTTATGTTTCAAGGCCACCTATCTACCTCCAGGAGGGATTTTAGTTGGTGGTTATTCCGGTTTTTCATTGGACCTCTGCATGGCTTAGGCCCAGGGTATTTGGCTGACCATCTGCAGCCAGCGACAGCTCCCCATCGCCTGGTGCGTTCTCACAGAGAGGGCCTCCTTGGGGTGCCGTCGGCCAGACAATGTCAGCTGACGACCCCGAGGGAGTGGGCCTTCTCTGTGGGCACACCTACCCTGTGGAATCAGCTCCCCCTGGAGCTCTGGGTGGCCCCTAACCTTCACTCTTTCTGCCGTGACCTTAAAACATGGTTATTTTGCCTGGCTGTTTGGACTGAAGGGGTTTTAAAGGGGATTTAATGGTCTTTTTATAATCTTATTGGGTATTTTTAATTTTAATTTATTGATTTTGCTTCTTTTTATTGTTGTGAGCCACCCTGAGTCCTTTCGGAGATAGGCCGGTATACAAGTTCAATCAATCAATCAATCAATCAATCAATCAATAAATAGGCTTTTGAAACATAACCTTTTGGCCTTATGTTATGCAACCAGATTTAGTTCAATAGAGAATGAAGTTCTCCAAACAAATATCTCGTGTGCAGAACATGAAGACAATGAGCTCAAGCTGAATTTGTTGTCTGCTCAAAAGCTAGCTGGAAATTAATAGGATCCGTAGATAACAGAAGCAGGTTCATATCCTCTACTTATAAATCAGAGATGCAAACTCTGGATTAATATAAACATACATCACATTGGTTCACTGTTAATCAAGGGCCCATCTTTTATGGAGCATTTTAAGTAATTCTTTTAGATTCTTGTGGAATTATAACTCTGTTCAAAAAAAAATTATAAAACAACAAATGTAAAATTGCTGCTTGTTGCTTTTTGGCGGCTGTGCTAAAAACTGTATTTTAGCATTGCTTAAGGCCGTTGCTTTAATTAGTGGGTCACTTAAAATATATCAATATCAAGCCTAATGAGGCAAAATAAAGTCATAATTAAGAATGTGTCTGGGCAAAGTGCTTATAGGCAATGTTGACTTAGATCAGAGCTCTGTTTGGATATATACTGCCTGCTATATATTGCGTTATTGCTGATTGGCACAGTGGTTAGAACGCAGCCACAGTAGCGCCGTGGTTAGAATGCAATACTGCAGGCTGCTTCTGCTGACTGCCAGCAGCCTGCAATTTGGCAATTCAAATCTCACCCGGCTCAAGGTTGACTCAGCCTTCCATCCTTCTGAGGTTGGTAAAATGAGGACCCAGATTGTTGGGGGCAAGATGCTGACTCTATAAACTGCTTAGAGCGGGCTGTAAAGCACTGTGAAGCAGTATATAAGTCTAAGTGCTATTGCTATTGCTATTGCTTTTGTAAAAAAAAAATCATACTCTATAAATAAATGTTTTCTTTGATCTCTTCTCTGTCTTTTGATTCCTTGTACAAGTGTTTGCAAGATGGTAGCACTGAAGATGTGTTAAACAGACATTGTTATAATTGTTCCTCAAGTTATCAGAAATTAACTGGATATCCCTGACCTGTTTCCATGTATAAGTCCATGATTACTTTTTAATATAGGAGAAAACATAAGGGGGTGGGGAGGTAGGGAATGGCCAGTGTAGTACTTATTTACATGTTTGAAATGCATAAAGAAAAGAATTGGCCTCAAAACTTCTTATCTCTATAACGTTATTGCTATAATACCTGAATCGCAATGCATTTACTGATTAAGTCAAATAAAATCTGATCTATTAATTTATTACCCCTTCTTGGTTTTGGCAATTTAAGAAACTAGAAAGGTAAAAGTAAAGGTTCCCCTCGCACATATGTGCTAGTCGTTCCCAACTTTAGGGGGCGGTGCACATCTCCGTTTCAAAGCCGAAGAACCAGTGCTGTCTGAAGATGTCTCCGTGGTCATTTGGCCGGCATGACTAAAAACCAAAGGCACACAGAACACTGTTACGTTCCCACCAAAGGTTGTTCCTATTTCTCTACTTGCATTTTTTACGTGCTTTCGAACTGCTAGGTTGGCAGAAGCTGGGACAAGTAATGGGAGCTCACCCCATTAACGTGGCACTAGGGATTCGAACCATTGAACTGCCAAACTTTTGATCGACAAGCTCAGCATCTTAGCCACTGAGCCACCACATCCCTCTTAAGAAACTATAGATCATTACAAAGGAAATGCATCCAATGAATGCATTTTATAAGAGGAGAGATTACTTCTACTGTAAATGAAACCAACTAAAGGCACGTCTCTCTAGCTCATTTTCCAGACAAGGAGAAACAGGTACAAAATTTGAACACTGATTTCATTATACGTCTTGCTTTTAATGCAAACAAGCAATTGCACTGCCGTAATATTGACTTCTTAGCTTTCTTATAATAAAATTCCTTATCTGAATTCCATGGATTTTAAAGTATCCATTCAATTAGTTCTAGTCTAAGCTATGGTAGATTGTAGATCAGTATGATGATTATTTAATTTAGCTGCTATAGTGACCTGCAGGCAAGGCATTTGGGAGACTTAACACTTTGGATTTCGTGAATCAATCAAAATGCAGCTTCAATTTGGGATTCAATTTATACATGAGATTCAGTCCAGTTTAAATTGCAAAATCAATTTGAACTTGTGCTTTAAATTGCTTAAGAGTCAATTAATCTTTAAACTGATTGAAAAGCACCAAATTTGATTCATCACATCAAACTGATTCAACAGTTAGATTCAAAAGCTGATTGCCCTGAATAAGTTTTAAGTTAAATGGACAGCTCAAGTGATAGAAATGAACAAGCTCTAGATAGTTTTATACTCATAAGTACCCTTGTAAGTATTCAGCACAAGGTCATGTCCATTCTACCACTCATGGTATCTGGACCTCACAAATCCAGTTGTCATAAACCTCACTTAGTTTTTTAATCAAGAAGATACTGATGATCTTCTGCAAGATCTAAGACAATGGTGGGTTGCTACTGGTTCTCCCCGGTTCTTGTGAACCGGTAATGGAAATTTTGAGTAGTTCAGAGAACCGGTAAATACCACCTCTGCCTGGCCCCGCCCCCAATCTATCTGCTGCCTCCTGAGTCCCAGCTGATCGGCTAGAAGGAAATAAACTGTTTAAACTCTTGCCGCGGTGCTTCAAAGGGCCACCCTACAGCTGATCAGCGGTAAAAGGCAGTGTGGTGGTAGACCAGTGCACTCCAAAAACAAATGGGTAGACCGGTGTGCTTCAAAAACAAATAGGTAGACCGGTACAGCTCTACAAGCAGTTAAAAGCCTGGTAGACCAGTACCTCTGCTAAATCCTAAAGAATTGTCACATGACCATCAAACCACACCCACAAAATAAGCCATGCCCACAGAACCGGTAGTAAAAAATTTTAGAACCCACCCCTGATCTAAGATTATTATTAATGGTGATAACCAGTGGTGGGTTTCAGCCGGTTCTCTCAGGATCCGGCGAACTGGTAGTGGCGACTGCGCACCCACCCGGATGTAATACGCGAGCACTGCACATGCGCAAAGCCTGTGCACATATGCAGAAGAGGCACATGTGAGTGAAGTGAGCAAGCGCATTCACATTTGCGAACCGATAGGGAAGGTAAGTGAATCCCACCGCTGGTGATGACTGGCAGAAAACAATTGGTACCTAATAGTTTCAGGTTTGATCTTCTTTCACTTTTATGTATTATCTTTGTATTTTATTGGACTGGGACTTTAAATAAATAACAATACATAAAATAGAAAAGAAAAAAGGGTGCCAACTAAGGTGGATATAACATTTTGATTTTTCTCCCGGTCTCCACATACTTAATAAACTGATCTAATTCACCATTTGTTTCTTTCCTTGCTAACACAACAAGCCTTTCTATTATGCCCATGGCAAGGAACTTTTCCACAGCCCAGGTCTACTTTGCCTAAAGCAAAATTTGAAACAAATTGTAGATCATTCCTAAGTGTATGTATGTATGTATGTATGTATGTATGTATGTATGTATGTATGTATCAATAAAAAGCAAGTCAATAGCGATTTCATCAGACCAGCGGCATTTCTCAGATCCAGAGCAGTATGGAACTCATCAAAATTCTACCTCTTGGTATATCATTTTTTATATTTCATCCATAAATAAGTAAAACACTTTTCCTTTTTGTGATACTACACTGACACACATACACACCAATTACTGCATTCCTAATGTTAGGTAATTCAAAGGAGCACCAGCCTGTTCTGAAGATTAACATTTGAATGGTTAATTCATCCTGACCAATTTTAGTTGCAATTGGTTAAAATAAACCATGTATTTTAGAGCCTTTTCATTGTTATGGGTGGCTTTAACTATGTTGTATAGAGTACAATAAATGTAGTATAATGAAATTAACAGCTTTCAGATATATCTCTTAGAAGAAAACTTCTGAAGGGTAATTTTTTTTTTTAATTTGATTTATATGCCGCCCTTCTCCGGAGACTCAGGGCGGCTTACAATGCGTTAAG